AAGAATAGACTTAATAACAGGAAATTAAAACTATCAACAAATGGAAAACACAACTATTAACAATTATTAGAAATATCAAAGAAATATAAAATAATAATAAAAAACCAATATAAAAATGAAATTCCAATAATACCAATAGGAGGAATAATTACTATAGAACAGATAATAAATGACAAACAATACTATAGAAATATGGTAAAAACACTAAAAGGAAATAATTTATTATATGCTGACCAATTAATAAATAATAATCCAGAAAACATTAGAATTCTAATATGGCCACAAGTCACAAAGGGTAAATATAAAGGAAGAGAACCATATTGATATGGAAAATTCGAAGAAAAACTCTTAGAAGCAGAATTTAATTTTGTGCAACAATATGATTACATAAATACATTTAACCCATTAAAACCAATAAATGAAGAAACTAAATTCACAGTAACCAAAGTAGAACAAACAAAAAATAACGAAATACAAATAATACCACTAATAGGAAAAATCAAAAAAAGAAATAAAAATAATACAATAACAATAGAACATTATATGCAAATAGAAAATAACAACAATAACTTCAAATCACCATTACAACCATGTAGAGAATGTGATCTTTTTCCAAATCCAGAAAATGAAAAAATGAAAAAAACAAGAAGCCATCAAAACCACATGATAGACTTCAAAACAAACGAAATATAAACATATCACTTGGACCTAAGGTAGCATGAACCAAAAAAAAATGAAAAAGGAAAAACAAACAACAAAGGAAAAATATCAAAAATGATACAATCTCCACAATCAATTCTTAATTTTTATGACCAATTTACAAAAGCAAATTATATAATAGATCAAGAAAACGCGAACAAAAACAAAGACCCTAAAGCAGAAATAATAAATTACCCAGAAGATAAAATACATGAAATAAAGAACATAAAACAAAAAATGACCAACTGCACCAACAACAAAATAGAAACTTATACAGACGGGTCATGTATCAAAAAGAAAATCCCAGGGAATTTAATAGGACAATATAAAAAAACAGTAGCAATGGGATATGGTATAGTAATAAAAATAGAAGAACAAGATAAAAAAGAAGAGTTAACTTTCAAAGGAATAACACAAGGACCACTATCATCAACTAGAGCTGAATTAATGGCGATAGCAGTTTTATTAGATATATCTCCAAGAAATAAAACAATAAAAATATACACAGACTCAAGTGCAGCAATTGCGGCAATAAATGGATATATAGATTTGAGAAAAAGGAAAAAAAGAAAATCGTATAAAAACCCATATATACTACAAACAATAGAAGAATTAATAGTCAAAAAAGAAATAAAAATAGAACTAGTAAAAATTAAGGCTCACACAGGAATAAAATTAAACGAAAAAGCAGACCAGTTAGCAAAAGAGGGAGGAAATGAAATAAAAAAAACAAAAATAAATCCAGAACAATTAAATGCAATAAAATATTTCAATACAGTAAACCAAGAAGTCCTGGACATACCGATACAAGAATACATGAAAGAAATGATATCCATAAATCACTTGATAGATTGGAAAATACTATACAGAACAACTACAACACTATCAAAAACAATTATAATAACAACCGACTGGAAACAAACAAAAGAAACACTAATGTATTCAAGAATCACAGACAGCGAAACATCACAAGAGGATCAAAAATATAGAACATTTAAACTAAAACTCTTAATAGAAGGACTACCTACAAAAAAATTAATGCATGAAAGATACCCCCAAATGTATCAAAATTCAAAATACATTAAATGTAACAACCACGAAGAAACATCAATACACGCTCTAACATGCTCAAACAGAATCAAAGAACTTCAAGGAGAATTCTTTACCATAGTTAGAAAAGAAATACAGAAAGTACACAACCGCTCAAAATCACACGAGTTAATTGAAAAAGAATTTAAAAATCACAGTGACTATCAAATAGACCACAACAGAATAAATACAGTAAAAACAAATGAATATTCAACATTCTCCTTTATAGATATAATAAGAAATTTAATACCAAAATCCCTTAAAAATAAAGAAGATAAAATGTATGAAAAAGAAGTGTTTGTTATATTTAATAAGTTGTCTAATGCTGCTTCTATTACTTTAGGTTTACGTGTTTCTAATTTTTTTTTAATTTTTTCGTAGTTTTCCTTGTTTCTTACATACTGTGCTTTTGTGTTTCATTTTATTTCAGCTGTTATATTATTATTTTCTTCCTATTTATTTACTATTTCACATCGTTCTAACTATTTTTTATGTATTTTGTTTGTAAATTCTTGAATTATATTTTTAATTATTTTTTCTATTTCTTTTGTTTCTATTTTCATAATTTTTTTTAGTTTTTTTTTAAGGGATTTTGATATTAAATTTCTTATTATGTCTATAAAGGAGAATGTTGAATATTCGTTTGTTTTTACTGTATTTATTCTGTTATGGTCTATTTGATAATCACTGTGGTTTTTAAATTCTTTTTCAATTAACTCGTGTGATTTTGAGTGGTTGTGTACTTTCTGTATGTTTTTTCTAACTATGGTAAAGAATTCTCCTTGAAGTTCTTTGATTCCATTTGAACATGTTAGGGCGTGTATTGATGTTTCTTCGTGATTGTTGCATTTAATGCATTTTGGGTTTTGATACATTTGTGGGTATCTTTCATGCATTAATTTTTTTGTAGGTAGTCCTTCTATTAAGAGTTTTAG